TTAGCAGTGGGAGGAAACCGAGGACTATGAGAAAACCCACGAGGTTAGACAGGCGACCCTCCTCCTTGTCACGTACAACCGGGAATTCGAAACCAAAATAAAACGTAATAGACGTATTATATAAATGTATATTGCTGCACCCGTTAAATTACATTTTCTCTTCTCGCTAACTTGAAATATCCTCTAAAGAGTACTTGCAAGCTAACTTAAATATTTGCTTTGTAATGTTTATGACACTTTTATCTCCATATTATACTGGTATATATATATTATATCGTCCCGTGTTTCTCCGTCATAGCTTGACAGAGGTTTCACAACTCGCGTAGGAAGTGAATTGAAATGGGGTTTAACGTCCTATTTTCTGTCGGCGTCAACTGGACTAATGTAGACGGCATATTATACCATACAGGGAAATTGTTATCCCGACAGCGGCACGACGGCATAATTTTCTATTCCAAATTCCACCTGTCAAAGGTTCTTTTTTACATGCAGACTAATGTGTACACGGGACCTCGATTTTCGTCCCATCCGAACGACTAGACAGCGTTCATTGTCAGGCACTCCGTCCTGCACCACTGACATGGGTAAAATTACGTAAGACCAGGTGCAAACCCGAGGCCCGGGACCTGGTTAGCGAGTAAACGTCTTACTTACTGAGCCACCGCGGCTCCCAACTAACATGGTCCCACCTTGTCGGTGGTGGGACCAAAAACCGAGGTCCTGTTTACGCATTCGCATGCACATGAAAGATCCCTTGACAGTTGGAATTCGATATAATAATAGGCCATAGCGCCCTCATAGCACACTGTATGGCGTATGCCCGTCTTCATTAACCCAGTCGGAGCAGAACAGTAGGACGTTAAACCCCATTTCATTTCTCTCCCTCTCCCTCTCTCTCTCTCTCTCTCTCTCTCTCTCTCAAATTCAGTAGGAGTGAGTGGAACAGCCTACAGGTTCGGATAAGTTATATCTATATGCATATGACTACTCCTTTGCTATTACACCACACTAAGTCTATACTTGTGAACAACACCGAATTCACTCGGCTCAAGTCATTGTGATAGACAATAATATTACGTCAAACAACCGTCTTTTATCACTCTTGCTAAAGGCCAACTGAATTGACGGTCGATACTATTCTAAATCGGAGAGGCGAGTCGAGTTTTAACAACAATTTTATTGCACCTCACTCACTGTAAGTTAGTCGAATGCATTTGAGTTAATGAACCGGTCTAATCGGAGGATGAACAAATAAATCTAGAACACTAAAAAAAAAGTTAACCCAATTAAGAAACACAATACAAATTTAATGTCAGTTTTAATTCACACGCTGCATAGCTAGTTGTTGTATCATGTTTCGAAGACCTCTGACATTTTGACGACAGTAATGGCGTTTTAATATTTAATATTCATAAATAACTTTTTGCCCTTGCCTGTTTTGCCGAGGGCTAAAATGAGTATATTGTGACGTCACATATTGCACACATGGCGCAAGGGACTTGTCTTTGATGACACAAACACGACGAGCCGTGTCAATTTGACGGATATTTTTGTAAACGGCAAGTAAAATATACAGAGAGTTTGACATAACCACCTTTCTCTCTCACAAACAGGTTTTTTAAAACAAAAATATTTTAAACCGTAATGCATTATAGGATTTTGTGAACCATTTTCATTTTGAATTAAACAGATTTTTTGGGGGGTGGTGTGTGTGTGTGTGTGGGGGGGGGGGGGGGGTTAAAATCAAATAATTCATAAATATTTTGTTATATATTCTTTGTTTTTTTAAAACAACAATTTTTTTAAAACCTTAATTCGTCATAAGATTTTGAGAAACCATTTTGATTTTTAATTAAAACAAGATTTTGTGGGGGTTATTTTAAAATCAAATGATTCAGTAATATTTAGTCTTATAGTCATGTGTCCTAGCTATTAGAGAAATTTACACTACAGGCAAGTCGTTGGTATATGACACTACTTAATGTGTTGGCTATGTGGGTTATATTACAAGCCGTGACCTAGATTTTGTCCATTTAAATTTAACATCACGCTGTTGTGTTGTGTGTTGAATAACTGTTGAATAATAGCGCTGAATATATATAACGTTTAACGTCCATTCGACACAAACTAGGTCATTTCGGGACTAACATATGGATCAATCGGTTTTTAATATTAATTCGCTTACGCGTAGGGGTCTTGAGAAGTGAGAGTAAATCGTGGGAGCCGGGGTAAACCCACGAGGCTGGAAAAGTGGCCCTACTCCTTGTGCGCAGGGGTTATTAGCAGTGGGAGGAGGCAAACATACTGGTAATACTTTTAAACCAACTCCCATAAAAGTGGGAATTATAAATGGATATTCCCTAATGAATGTTACACCGACTGAAACCTCCGTTGTTATTCCGATTCCATAATTTCTGTATATACAACGGTAGGACGTTTAACCCCATTTCATTTCATTTTACTGCCCAGCTGTATTGGATATTACACTGTATGGCGTATGTCCGTCTTCATTATCCCAGTCGGAGCAGAACAGTAGGACGTTAAACCCTTTGCATTTTATTTCAGAGCTTGGTTGAATTGGATAGCACATTGTGGTAGGACCGACAATGAACAGTTTCTAGCCTTCGTGTGGGACAAAGAAACAAGGTTCTGTGAAAATGTAATTTGGCAAAAATTCCCCCCAGAACACACTGCAATGTGTACGATATGCACGTCTACATTCGCCCGCCCTCGTCGGTACTGAACAATAGGACGTTAAACCCTATTTCAATTCATTTGATTTCAGGGTTTGGTTGAATTGGTTAATATTTAGACTGATGCTTGACGTGATTAGTACAGTACAAGTACGGAAGCAAGTGTTATCTACCGGAGAACAATTTTAACTTTATATCCGTCCAGGGTTATTCCTACTGATTAGTTATACTATAGTCATGGCGACACAGCTAAAACAAGTCATTTCTTCTTAATTATACACTAATCGGGCTTTTTGTCCTTACTAATTTAATTATAGACTGGAAATTAAAATTATCACTTTGGAAAACTGTTGCTAGGTTTCAACGTAGCGAAATATCGGGGTTTGGAGGGGTGGGCAACATGTAGGGCTATGGATTGAGATGCGTCGATGAGGTACTTTCGTATTTACTAATTTAGTTATGGACTGGAAATTAAAATTATCACTTTGGAAAATGGTTGCTACGTTTCATCGTAGCAAAATATCTGGGTTTGGAGGGGGGCAACGTGTAGGCCTATGGATAGAGATGCGTCGATGAGGGATTTTTGTCTGGAAATTAAAATTATGACTTAGGAAATCTGTGGCTACGTTCATCGTAGCAAGATATCGGGGTGGGGGGCTATGAACAGAGATGCGTCGATGAGGTATTTTGGTATTTTTGTCTTTACTAATTTAATTATGGACTGGAAATGAAAATTATCTCTTTGGAAAGCTGTTGCTACGTTCATCGTAGCAAAGTATCGGGGGGGGGGGGGGGGCATGCGTCGATGAGGGATTCACTCGAATGAATTAAGGAAGTCACTTGCCTTTATTAAATGTATTCATGGGTTGAAAATAGATTACCTATTTGGAAATACATGGCTGAGTTCATCTGTTAGTAATATATCAACATAAAATAGGTTAATATTAAATGTGACGAAATGGCGGTGGACAGTATATATTTGTCATATGGCTAAGTTCATCTTTCCGTAATAAATCAACGAAAAATTGTTCAGTTTTTTCTGATAAATGTATGATAAAAAAAACGGGATCGACAGATTCTGTCTCACACTGCAAGTGATACATCTCTCGACTCCATAGCTGACAAAAGGTGGTGATCATTATCACTAATTATTATAATGAAGTTGACAGAGTCCATATTTATAAAACGTATAATATAGAGTCGAGTGTATGAATTATCGTTCATATCTCCCTCTCTGTATACGGCGTAGAGTATTCTATAGACTTATATACAATACCCCACTCTTCTCCGGTCGATATGAAGGTCGTTTGTCTGAACCGGTTTCTCTATTATTATCTGTTTAAACAAACACAACGTGATCCGATCACAGAGATATGCGAGTCGAGGGAAACCGACAGGTGTTTTTCAAACAGGTACATTTAACGGTCGTCCTATACACGGTTAATTTCAAACACCGTTGAACAGTGATTGCGCAGAGTGTGTGCAGTTATATACGCCTCTCAGCCACAACAACTTGGGAATTCGCGCATCGCAATAAGACGCGGGTGAATCAAAATGTGTTCATATCCTGTCATGGGACTATGGCGCATTTCAAAAACATAGGGCATTGATTGTATTAATATCACTACTTAGCGGGTCAATGCACTCGACGACTGAGGAACTAAAAGGGGTGTTGACGCTAGAATTTACAACAATGTTGTTAGTTGTAAACGTTGACCACAACAACGTTGCGATTTCTAAATTCGACTAAAATTACATTTAGTTCATCTCCTTGACATCTATTAAATAATCCTTTGTCAGATATCAAAATGTTCCCAGATCCCTTTCACTGGATAATTAATTCTTGTTTCACAAGCTGTATTACATGACATTGACAACCCGAACGCCATGTTATGCATCTTCTTGACAAATAATACGTTAAATAGTTTTATTTAACGTCCGCTTCTACCTTGGTGATATCGCAGATCATCCCAGATAATAGTTTAAATCAAGGCAATATAATCCCTCGCTCACTAAAAACAGTCTAAGGCCCAGTAGTGGAAAATGGACCCCACGACACAAAAATTGCGCAATATGCTGGATCGTCATTGCTATTACAATAGGAGATAATGCGTGCTATTCAGAAAGGAATTTCTTACATTTTAACCCACTAGTTGCACTCCCCATGATCTATTATAGTCTACAGTATAAATTAGAACAGACAAGATTGTTTCATTTTTTCATTATTTTAATCATACGGTTCTTTAAAATTGTATTAAATACAAAATGGTGATATCATACAAGTGAAAGCATGTATTGAAAAAAAAAAAGTTTGAAAAAAATGATATAAAAAGTTTCACGCATCTTTGGTGACATCATAATTTAGAACATATATATAATAATAATAATAATAAAATCTTACTGAAAAATACGAAATTTTAATGGCCAAATATTGGTCAATGCCATTATATTATCTATTATTGCTGTATTGAAATGCATAGTTATTTTAATAAATATATAAAATTATGATAAATAATGATCGTGAAGGAGGTGTTTGAGTTATGAAGATATTTAAATACTAGTATTTGCATAATTTACGTTATATAAATAAAGGAGACCTGATCATATCTTAAATAATAAATGTTAAGGCACAATGAATTATGTATATTATACTCAAAATAATACTTAATATTCCAGTGGAATAAAATTATGGTCCTTAAAAACCACCACGTCGTGGCAATGAAAGCATTAAGGGCGACATTTTAAAAATAAATACGTACATATATAGGAATGAAATAAAATCGATTTACACATATAATATAATAATTATTATTAGTAATGACATTAAATAGTATTAAGTGAATATGATCTTCGAAATGAATTTAAGAGAGTAGCCTAACGAACACTACTAAAAAAGTTTGAATGAACCAAGAGAACGTAGGAGTTTTATTGTGGCCCTCGCCCGGAGAGCTTTAAAAAAAATCTTACGAGATTTATAGTTATACTAACCTAAGATCTTTTAAAAACATAATTTGGCAGTATCAAAAACATCGAACATCAATAGAAAGAAAAAAATAGTTAATAAAAACAAGAAGTCACATTAATTAATAACAAAAGCTATACACAACAGTTTACTCACATGAGTCTCAGAGATTGTTTTTTTAATAAAGTTTTTCGTTCGTTTCGTTGTATCAAAACTTTTCGTCGAATATACACAAAACCAATATGTAAATTGGCAGAAAATATAATATATATCCATTGTAATCGCGAAGGCACAAGTTTTTTTTAAAGTTTTTGTTTACAATTCCTGAGACAACCGGTTGAAGATTGGTAATCGCATACCTCGGCTTACTTCCATAGGAGAATTGCATGTACCAAATCCACTGCCACTGCTTGAAGAAGATGAACCAACACTTAATCCAGAAACCGATTCAACCGGTGATGATGACGGGGCGGCGTCGTTGAAGGTTTGACTTTCTCGGAAGACTTGGGTGAGGAAACTATCGTCGAACACGTTATGGTTGATGTTGTTGTTTTCGTATGCTGTTCTCTGGGTGTTCAAGTTCAAGGAGGAATTGAACTGATTCTGTAGAGCTGACATATCGGTGAGGTTGGCATTATTCATCTGCGTCTGAACTTTAAGGGGTGTCATCCAGTCGAGCTCGGCGGCACTGCTGAATACGGGACTGGATCGGGAACTGCCGGAGCTTACACTCTGTTGGTTAGGTGAGAAGTTGGCCATGTTGGCACTGGAGAAGATATCGTCACCGGATCCGAAGAAGGAAGGACTGAGTGTGGTGGGGCTGGCGTTGACACTGGAAGAAGGTGAATCTAAAGATGAACCAAGTGAAGACAAACTGGTGAATTTGATAGAGCTGGGTCTCTGGATGGGCTGAGGAGGTTGAATAACACCTGGATGTTGTTGTTGCTGCATCTGCATGGCCTGTTGTTGTTTCAACAAGTTCAATTTTCTTTCTTCTTCACTGTGGATGAAGTGACATCGAGGTCCATAGGGGCAGAAACCAATGGTGTGGAATGTTCGGCATAAATCGGTCTTGTATTTGGGATGGCGGGCCAAGTTCTGGAGCTCATGTTTCCCGTGGGCAAACTGACACTTATCACCGTATTTACAATGTCCATTTTCTTCGAAAGGTCGGCAAAGTTCGGTCTTGTAGCGGGTTGAATTCACGGTAGCACTGGTGTTAGCAGCGACAGCAGTATTCCTCATTGATTTGTCACAGGGCTCACTCCAGCTATGTTCCAATTTACGATGAACTTGTGTGTTGAGGTGGCTCTCTGTTGCAGACATGATGTTCAATGTTGAAGGAGGGACTATATTGGAGGAATAGCCTGAGTTGGATGTCACCGGTACAAAGGCACTGCCGTTTCCAAAAGTACCCATAGGAAGATTTCTGTTCTGTGAAAAGTTATTGACAGGGGCACCAACTGCTAAATGCTCTGTGTTCTTATTTAGTCGATTCTGAAATTAGAAAAAAAACAATCATAAATATCATGTCTGACTAGACTGATGTTTCAATCAAATATCAAAATCTAAAATCCAAATCATTTTAAATTCCAGTGAGTCTTTTAAAAGACCCAAATAAGACTCCAAAAAATACTGTCATATTAATGACCGGCAATTCGACAACAATCAACAGCGATTAACACTCCGACCGTATTAAATATTCAAACTTTGAATGGATCAGAATAGCGCCGCTTGCAAATGTCGTTTGTTTTGAGTAACAAATTTAACAGTTCAAACACGAAACTTTTACATACCTGAACATTTGTAATATCAAAATCATATAACTGTGAATACTGAGAAACAAGTGTAGTAGACATATTGAAAATCTTTCTGTTGTAATTGCACTCCTAATGTTATCCTGAAGAAGTCACAAACTGTACTATCGAAATGCTGTCGGCGTCGGCTAATATGTGATTTCACCAAAAGTGGGAGGAGCTATCACCTCAATAGAGTTGACAGCCAGCTAAGCCACTCGGAGTTCCGTTGTACTCATTAGGCCCCGCCCTCGATTCTGATTGGCTGTTCTATTCAAAACAACAAAGGGTTTGACTAGCTTCTCGAAGCGCACTTGTTAGCTGTATTATCCCTGCCGTATAGGAATTTTTGGTATGGGCCGTACGTTCCAATACACTAAACACCGCGCGTTAATCAAAGCGTGAAGAAGATATTCTGATTGGACGTTCAAATTAGACTGCCTTGGCATGGAATTCTCCGAGAAGGCGTGTCTTAAAATAATCCCCAATTTTTATTCTTTTGGCAAAGAATAATGCAATAAACAGAAAAAAAAACCTAGAATTGAAAACAAGAATTAAAAGTCAATGATATGTCTCCGTAACCCCCTTTTTTAAAAAAAATTCTTTCATTTTATTCCTTCTACCCCTCTTGAAATTCAACTCTTTGCCCTGTTGCTGGACATCATTTTCGACTTCGGTGTCTCGCTCGAATTGCGTAGGCCACAAAACATTTGTAACAGTAGGTTTATGCAGTCACCCTATAGTTGAAAGCGGACATCAATATCTAGCACTATTAGAATCAAACCTTGGTAGGCCATATTCAATAGTGCTATTTTTGATTTCATATTCATAAATAAGTTTTATTAAATGCAATGTCGTATAATAATAAAATTGTACTTCAGTGTGCATCATAATAGGTAGACCACTTCACTGTACACACAGTGAGCGGTGTATACCGAGTGACTCACGTGTTTTTTCCCGCGTTTTCTGGTTAAAGCGCGCCAAGTGAGAGAGAGATAGGAGTGAAGTAAACAAGTTTCTATCGCTCGACACATGTTAGAATTACACAAAGCCACGACACGACAGACACAGAGAACAACTTTATTTTTAACAAATTCGCCTTAATAAACACTAAATATAATTTGTCGACCATTACAAAAAGATTCATACCTCAATAGAAAGAATAAATAGGAGTACATTTTTTTTTTATTATATTATCTTATGATGCAATCCAGGGACGAGAGAGATAACCTAGAATGACGAGACAAGAAATATAAGATTAGGCCTACATAGGTGACAAACGATGACATGACCACCTACTAATAATAAAAACATGAATTACAATTCATCTACGTAATAGGTCAAAATAGAATAAAATGTTTATATGTATTCAATAAACAAAGGCCGTCTGAATGGTTTGTGTCACATAAGTGTTTTGCTTTTACTTATACGTAAAAGAACATGAATTAAAATTCATATACGTAATTGACTGAATTAAATGTCGAGGTCTCAAATACATTTCTATCAAAGATAAAATAAAAGAGGGGTATCATAATCGTTTTGTTTTTAATGAATGTAGCTCATTCATTCATATTCTGAATAAATCGTACAAATTGATTTCCATATGGAAAATTACCATGGAGCTGTTTAGTTATTCAATAACCGAGGTGAAAGTTGGCCGCTGATAAATTTATGTCATGAAATAGAATATAAATCTCCGAGTCAATTTGTGAATAAATCAGATGAACTTATTTTAATATACGAATTTATTATTTACGTCTATTTACGACGACTGTTATTGACAAGTATGTTTATTTATCGATTCGGGTTAACCTTTTAGCTTTTTAGCCCGAGTAATTCACTCTATGATTACTGTAGGCCTACGATAAACATATTCGTCACTTGCCTTGTTACCCAATTACCGCGATATGAACTCGTGAATCGATCGATAGCTGACCTAATCCTACGGTCAAATTTTGTGTTCATTACTTATATCTGTTCCTAGTTTGGTTTTGATTGATGTTTGCAGTTATACTTTATTTTTAAACTTATATTATACCCAATGGCTATTTTGTTCCTTATTGACATGCAATAAGTTACAAATATACACTATAGGGGTTATGGCCTTATATTTCCCGACTACATAACTCATGGTTCATTCATGAACTTGATGTAATAAAGATATATACCGGTACGTAAAGAGGAAGTCGGCTGATTTTTAAATTTGAATCGATTTACAATGGGAAAGGCCACATTCTATAAAAAGAAAATAAAACTGGCAAGTTTATGTGGATACATATACACAAATAAAATATTTCACATCACTTATTATTTATTTGTTGGTGCGGAGAAAAAAACAATTCGCCTACATGATAATATTGGCTCTTATTTCATATTTCATATTTCGTATTTCTTTATTGCTTTGTCACGTATGATGTAGGAGTGAAAAAACGTTATTTGGGTTAGTGAAGTGTCTCCCTGCTCGAAACAAGATGCCAGATTCGTGTCAGCTCTCGTAACTTAACGGGGTATATTTACATTTATAATTAACAAATTGTTAATTAAGACACACAAGGAGATTTGATTAATTTAATCTAGCTATATATGAAACAGACATTGGTCAAGTGAATCTGTCAGTCAAAGTAGTGGTATATATCACTGTCATATAGCTGTTAACACCGCCATAAACATCATACTCTGAACTATAGATAGATCCAACAAGCATCGCTTACGGCTCATTCCTTCATCCATTCATTCATTCATTCATTCACGCTATGGATCCACAACACCAAACGGAGACCCTCACTGAACTTCATTCATTTATTTTTCCAAGGCAGTGGTTCCAACCTCGTGGGTTTCTCCAGGTCCTCTGGTTTCCTCCCACTGCTAAAGACCCCTACGCGCAAGCGAATTATTGAAATAAAATTGAATCATATGTTAGTCCCGACATGACCTAGTTTGTATCGAGTGGACGTTAACACCCCCTCTCTCTCCCTTTCTCGCCCCCCTCCCTCTCTCTCTCTCTCTCTCACCAAGGCAGTGGGAATTGAGCAATTCAGTCTTGGTATCTAATAGCTCTACGACTTATCCCCCGCTTGCATTTCCGTGGACGTTAGGCTACTTACTAGTGAGTTTTACACCCGATTTCGTGTATCTCGTTCTCTTACCTGTTCCAGAGAATGAATATTGAATGACATTATTATTTTATGGAATATATACTAGGTTTAATATTAACAAGAGTGAAATAGACACGCAGATCGATATTCACTCAATTTAAAATCAATCAAGAATAATTTTAAAAAAAAAACAATCAATAGATACAACCCAATAATAATTCGATCTCTCAAAGTTTATTGATTGAATATGTCACAAATGTTAGGAGAACTGTGTTAAATGCGTTCTGCCAAAATAATTTCGTGTAAATTAGAAAATGATAGTCCGTGAATGGATTGTAGTAATTTAAACAGAATGTGTAGAAATTAGTTGGGGGATACGAGGAGATTAATGAATGGAAATCTCTCACGTGCATCTATCTGACGTAATTAGGTAAACAAAGTGGGCTAATCAAGGCTTTCTCACTGGTGTATAGGTGAAGATTGAAGAAACATGCACTGACCTCCCCACGATGTTAAGACGTGGCTTGTTACCCCCCTTACCCCCCACTACCCCGTATATGTGAATTATCTATTATTCTCCCGACTGACACGAGATACTGTGACAAACAAATAATTTGTAGTGAAAGGGTTTTGATAATTGCAAGGATTAGGTGAATGGAGGAAGGATGGGGGTTTAACGAGATGTTGACACGTAACAAGAACAAATTCATTCATTATCTTATATTATACATCACAGCAGCCTAGTCGTTCGGATGGGACGAAAACCCGAGCCCCGTGTTCACATGCACGAAAAAGAGCCCTTGACCATTGGAATTTAACTGCTGTCCGGGCAAAATGTCCCTCATAGCAAACTCTTTCCCGTTTGGTGCACAAAAGTAGGACGTTAAACCCCATATCATTCATTCATTCGTTTCAAATTGTATTATTTTGCTCCACGAACGAATTGTATTATTCGTTTTGTATTTAGAAAAATTCAAGCGATTTAACCGGGGTATAGACGGTTTTGGGGTTTATTATAGTTTTGCACCTAAATGTAAAAAGCTATCTTAAATCGACTAATACTACTACTATTTCTTTATGGTTTGTCCTATCTATGCTGTATTGGGCAGTTATCATAAATTTGATATTAAATTATGTAATTGGCTTATATCTAGTATGCCGTCTTCATTAGCCCAGTTCGGAGTAGAACAGTAGGACGTTAAACCCCCATTTCATTTCATTTTTATCCAGTATCATTTCTTCAGCTCTTTTTACGAGGAGCGAAAAATGTGAGTGTGCGTGGGTCTTTTTTTTTAAAAAAAAAAACCTGTTTGCGGGTTATAATTGCGTCATGATATTATTACGCCATATTTCATTGATATAGTAAATAATGAAATTGTTATATAAATATGCCATGTTTATTTATTTTCCCGCCATAAATAGTAAATAATATGTGGTATATTCAATATATCATAGGAGAATAAGTACCGTTATATTACATTCATGTGATATAAGTTTTATTAAGTCCGAGTCGTTTGTTTTTTGTGCACGAATGCATCGATAGTGTAAGCATGCTGGGGTGTGGAGGGGGGGGGGGACCAGTCAGCCCCTACCTACACCTTAATACGACCCTGAAGGTGTTTAATATGTAACACGTGCTATAATACGAACTTAATTATTTTCATATTAAAAATTTCATATTGAAGCAAATGGAAGCGGTCTGCCAAATTGGACAAATGAATAACTGTACGTACAAAACATACATGGGCTAGGATACAGCTCACATAGCGTGCCTCGATTATTGCTAAAACTGATTATGTGCAACGCCATGTCATAAATCGCTACCTTTTCTTTATCATGTACAACACAGGCCGTGTTCGAGCACCTGAGGGGGCCGGAAATCTATTCAACTGTATGAATGGACTTCGGCTACGTGATGCGAGACCTTTATAAAGACTTCATAAAAGCATCCTATAGCGTTACAGTTTTCAAGTTGTTATAGGGGGTGCGGAAAGTGTCAGATTTTTTTTTTTTCTTCTCTCGATCTGTGTAAGCCACAACGGTCACATCTCAATGGCCAGATC